TTTTTTTTTTTTTTTTTTTTTTTTTTTTTTTTTTTTTTTTTTTTTTTTTTTTTTTTTTTTTTTTTTTTTTTTTTTTTTTTTTTTTTTTTTTTTTTTTTTACGTTTCTAGTCTTGGAAAATTACATGGTTTCTAAACTTTTGATCGGTCTTTGATTTTTTTTTTAAAAAAATATATATTAGAAAAAAAAAATCCATTCCATATAAAATAAAATAAAATAAAATTAGGTTTATAAATTTATTTAAAAAAATTATAATAAAGTGATTATAAAAAAAGTTTGGAGAACTATTAGCAAATTTGAAGAGAAGTTTTTAACCAAATAAATTTAAATTGAGTTTAGAAATTAAATTATAAAAAATATTAAATTTATGTCGCATTAAAAATGATTACTTTTTTTTAATATCATGCCTTTATTATATAAGATTGGTCATATTGTTTTAGTCTTATCAAATAATTTTTACTTACGTCAAAGAAATCCTTTAAATTTAGATACACAGTTCGAATTTAATGCATTTATTTAGTAAAAAAAATGTTCAAATATTTTTTCTCTCTGAGCCATTATTTCATCGTTTTTAAACTTTTCAATGGTACTCCTTTTTTAAGAAAAAAATTGTCTACAATACCCTTTTAAAAAATAATGTACAGAAATTAATAGGGATGCAATAAATGGAGTAACAGGGATAATGTGGACATTTGATTAAGGCCTAAGATGGGTATAAATGAGTGCAGGTAAGAAGTTACGAAAAATTATGGGTTAAAATAATTAATTTTTGAAACTCCCAACTATTTAAGAATTATAATATTTAAATTTGATTCGTTAAATTTACATTAGATTCGGTTTCAAATTTCGAGAGAAGTACGTCACCGAGTAAATCCTTAACTCTTCCCCCTCTTACTAAGACTACAGAATCATCGGGTAAATCCTTAACCCTTCCCCCTCTTACTAAGACTACATAATGTTCTTATAAATTATGGCTAATACCGGTATATAAGTGATTTCAAATCCCGAGTTAAGCGTACTCTGACAACTTTACGTAAGGCATTTGGTTTTTTGGGGGTGATAGTGGAAAAGTTGATAGATAAGTCACTCTTACTGCCACTCGACAGAACCGTACATGAGATTTTCACCTCATTATCTTTCTGAAGAGATGTTCGGTTTCAAATTTCAAGAGAAGAACGTCGTGCTCAACATCTCAGGGTCAAACGTTAATGAGTACATTGAACTATATATGGGACTACGGTCCCTCACACCCGAACACAACGACGCAGTTATTCAAGACACACTATACTAATGAGCTATAGCCCGTCCAAATTAATAATTACAAGCTTCTCAAATAATTATCAGCTGTAAACTGAAATCAAATCAATCGTATTCTATTCATATCAATCAATTCCTAGAACGAGGGCACACGAACTTAAGGTGATTTATCATTCTATACATTAGAGAGAGAGAGCCAAAATGAAAGCTCAATGCATTGCCATTGTGCAGAACCATCCTCTTCATCGTTTAACGAAGCTCACTCTTTTCTGCAAATATTTAGAGTTAAAACAATTATTAGTTTATATTTCAAAAGGATTAATTATTTTATTTTTTAAAAATAAATTTACAAATGCTATTTATTAATATATAATAATAATAATAATAATAATAAATATTTTAAATTGTAAAAGATGTGTCCTCAACTAAGCACTATAGATTTTTGTGTTCTTTATTAACTTTTGACTTTTTTTTTTCAATTATATTTATTATTTACTAAAACCCCTTTATTAAGTTTTTTTTTTTTAAATCAAAGTCAACAAATATATATTTATTTTGTTAGTCAAATATAAACTCATACCCACCAGACTCTTTTTTTTATTTATTTAAATTATTTTTTATTTACTTTAATCTTTTATTTATAAATATATACGCATGCTTTATAAAATATTTTTAAATTAATGTAATCTATAAGAAAATAAATTAACTATTGTTTTGAAATTTAATTAATATATAAAAAGTACCTTAAACTACCAAAAAAAAAAAAAAAAATTACAACTCAAACTTTTTTTCTTTTCCTTGTATTATTATTTTTTTAATGGATTTTTTTTTGGAACAGTACGAGCCGAAAGAATATGAATCTTTAGGGGTGTTTAAATGATCCGAGAATATGATCAATCCAGATTACCTATCATAAAGGTTGTGGGTTCAATTTTTGGAGCTGAAATATTACACTCGGTTCGAGTCATCAACCTAACTAGCTCAAAATATTTTCTGGTCGACCAACCCAGATTACTTAACATGTACGATGGTTAAGTAAAATATTTTTAAATAATTAAAAAAAAGAAAACCCAAAAATCGAGGATTAATTTGTGAATTCTATTAGAGTTGTTCCGGTCATCAACCTAACTAGCTCAAAATTTTGAGCTAGTTTAAAAGATTTCTTAAACCAAACCCACTTTTATAAGCTTGACCACTACACTAAAACATAAATTCAAAAAGATATTAGAATTTTATCATCGACTATTGAAATAGAACGGCTAGAGAACGCACCTCACGTGCTTGACCACTACACATGCCACCCGTTTTCCACAAATCAACAATCCTCTCCGCTGCCTCTACCTTGCTCTTACTTTCCTTCATCAGCCTCTCAAATTCTTCCCTCGGCACTCGAAGCTTGATCTGCACGGGTCCAGTAGGGCGAGAGGCAGTCGACATCCCATCGGGATCCAACCGAAAGGATTGGAGGTCGGAGAGCGATCGACGAGAGAGCATAAGACACTCGAGGCGGTCGGAGGCAGACGAGCAAAGGTCGGAGCGCACACGCGACAACGGGCGATGGCTGCCGGGGAGAGGGGGCAAGTGGAGGAGGAAGTAGAGGGTCTTAGGTTTGAGTTGGTGGTGAGGGTCCAAAGGCTTGGCTCGGAGGCCGAGTTGGTTGATGGATTGGGAGTCATAGAGGAGGTGATTTGGATGGTGGGTCGTGACTTGGAAGGCTGTGGTTGGTGTTCTTATCTTGAAGGTTTCGCCATTGATTTTCATCACTTTTGCTGTTCTCTTGCTTCTTCTTGATCCTCTCCCCATAGCATTTCCCATCTTTGAAAGCTGCTTTGTTTGGAGTATCAACTCCATGGATATATTTATAATGGTGTGGTGGCGGCAATGGAATTGTTTAATTAGACTCTCTCTCTCATTTGACCTAAAAAGTGGGCTATATACTATCGTTTTGAGTGAAAGTCGAGGATTATGAGGTCCCATGTCGGTTAGAAAGGGGAACGAAACATTTATTATAAGAGTGTGGAAACCTCTCCCTAACATACGCATTTTAAAAACTGTGAATCTGACGGCGTAATGGGCTAAAACGGACAATATCTACTACCGATGGGGTTGGTTTGTTACAAATGATATCAGAGCCAAATACTGAACGATGTGTCAACGAGAACGTTGGGCCCCCAAGGGAGTGGATTGTGAGATCCCACATCGGTTGAAGAAGAAGAAACATTCCTTATAAGAGTGTAGAAATCTCCCACTAATCGACACGTTTTAAAAGTCGTGAGGCGGTTGAGAGCTACTCGATACAACAATAATTTCAACGTTCTGTTAACCATTTTTAAAAGTTTTTTTTTACAGTTCATTTGAAAAATTGTTATATATTAGGGGTAAAATTGGAAATTTCAAAAAAGTTGAATTTTGTAATTAAAACACTGCCCAAAATAATTAAAAGAAAATTGATATATTTAATAAAAAATGTATTTTAAAAATGTAATTTAATCCTTATAAAGGGTCGTCACCCTCGATATATTTTTTTTCTCCACCCTCTAAAAAGGGAGGCAATGGCTATATCAATAAATAAATAAATAAATAAATAAATAAAGGTTGAAATGATCAAATTATATGAATTTTGTCATAACGTGGGGGTTTTATTTATTTATAGATTTATTTATAGTTTCGGATAAAAAATAATAATTATTTTTGTCAACAATAAGTGGAAATTCAAACCTAAATTTAAAATTATGAGATAAAATGTTGGAAAATAGAGACATATTATTATCATTATATTAATTATTATTATTATTATTATTGGATATGGATGGAGAGAGATATTGAGGGGTACAAGTTTATGTTTAAAATATTTTATATTAAATGTGGGAGACAATTTTCAATTATACATTAGTTATATATATATATATATATATATACACACACGTGAATAAATTTCCACTCGGTTTTTTCAAGTTAAAAAAATTTATAATATTTAATATTGTTTTAAAGTTGAAACCCTTGCACGTGCATAATTTTTTTTTAGAGAAAATAGTTATTAGACTTTAAATTTTAAAAAAATCATTTTGGTATCTTTAACCTAAATTAAATTAAATTATAGAAATTATTCATGAACTTTATATTTTATTTTTAAAAATATTTCTAAACTTTTGGGGATTTTAAAAATATTTTGTTTAAAAAATATTATTAATTTTTAAATGTTACATTCATATTTTAATCTTTAAAAATAATGTTTAAGAAACTAATATATGGATTTAGGGTTTTTAAACTTTATAAATGACCTTTCTCTTCCTTTCTTCTCTCCTCTATTTTAATTTCTCAATTTCTCATTTTTTTTTACTTGCTTTTTCATTTTCTTTTTTCATTTTTCAATATCCATATTTATTTATTTTTTCACTTCTTAAACATCAATTTAAAATGAAAAAATCTCTCATTTATATACGTATTTTAATATAAAATAAATAATTTCTTCGCTCAAATAGTTAAATATATATATTTTTATTAAAATACTTTGTTTATCCTATTTGTACAATTCTTAAACTAATTTTCTTAACAACTAAATACATGATACATTCGCAAGAGTAAAATGAGAAAATATCAAATAAAAAAAAAAAAAAAAAATATATATATATATATATATATATATATATACGGCCTTTCCAACCTTTTTAACTGATCGAATCAACAAAGTCTAAGTAGGGTCCTCGAAATGGAGAAATGAAGATGATCCTAACAATATAGGAGTGAAATACTTGCAAATTCATGATATCATTTAACTTCATCTTGTTTATGTAATTTTGGGGATTGGAAGTTAGAATCCTTAGAAATTTAGAAATTTCAATCATTCTATTTTGTTTTAACATCAATCCTCAAATAAAAAGAGTATTCAATAACTACGAGTATTCAATATGTAGTTCAAAAGACAACCTCACAATCTATCTATAACACGCTCAAGATTAAGATCATATCACATCATTGAACATTGCACAAAGTAACAACAATTATAATGAAGTTCAATCTTTCTAAGTTTTGGATGAATCTCTCTCGACCCGGGTAAGGATTTACGCAATATAGATAGAATTGAAGATGATACTAGATAGTCTCAACATGGTTCAGTCTGTATTATACTCTTAACACAGATCATAGGCTAAACATAACAAAATCCCTCCAGCAAAGAACAATTCACAAATCCTACTTCATGAAGCTCAACTTTCTATAGCTCATTACAACAGTTAATGGAAGTTTATGTAATGTTACTTTCACAAGAATTCAGAAGGTGAATTGGCATCTGGCTTCCCATTGTCATCCAATTCCCCAGGATGTTGCAAATTCTGCAGAACTTGAGATGGCAAAGCCCCCAATCCATCATTTGCAGAGCCAAAATACTGGCAGAGAAGCCTTGCAATTACCCCCAAAATCTGCATTTGATTCTGAAATGCATCGGCTTGCATTTGCATCATTTGTTTCTCATGTTCGATCTGCATCTCTACCATCCGTTCTCTCCATTCCATCTCTTCTTCTTCCATTTTCTCTTCCATTCTCAGCCTCTTTCTTCTTTCTTCCTCAAATTCCCTTTCCATTCTCATCCTGTTCTCAAACTCTCTTTGCCGCCATTGAAGCTCCATCTCTTCAAGCTCAAGCTCTCTATTGTCCAATTGTTCTTCCTTTTCGTTCATCAGTTTCTCCTTCTTCAGCTCTGTGTTCTTCATCTTTTCTTCTCTTTCACCTTCGTTTTTCTCCCTTCTGAATGCTCTCTCTCTTCTCTGTTCTTCCCTCTTCGCTGCCATGTCTCTCAATTCCAAAACTCGCATTGCCACCATTCCCAATCGCCTGTTCAATCCAGAATCCTTCTTCGATTTTCTTGTCTCCAATATTGCGATTTCACCAAATCTGCTGCGTTTCCCCTCGTTTCCAATGGCTTCCACCGGCTCACGACCACCGCCATCGTCTTTCGCACCGCCGTGTTCTCTCGCTTTCAGATCTTCATCCTCTTCCTCTTCTTCCTCCTCCAAATCATCAGAATCCACTCCAATTCCGAATTCCGAATCCTCGCTGCCGTCGAAACCAACAGCAGCAGCGTTACCAAACACCAGCCTCTTCCCCTTCAAATCTAGAGGGAAATCTCCGAAAACCTCCTTGTATTTCATGAAATTCTGCCAGTGATTCTCACCGTCCTTCCAATTGAAATCGTCATCGGAAACCCTAATCTTCTGCTTGACGCCTAGGTATTGATGGCGCATGTTCTGGACCTTGATTGAGACGTCCCGCCATGACCAGCGAAAGGGGAAGCTGAGAGGATCGTGAAGGTGGTGAACGGAATTGACATGGTCAGCGATGGGCTTGAACTTCTTCTCACGAGTCTTGAGCTTGGCTAGGGTTCCACAGTTGAGAAGCTCCGAGTATTTGGAAAGAAGCGTTTCTTCTTCTTGCTCCGACCATTTCTTCCGCTTCATTCGGGCGGCTTGTCTGGAAAGTCCACACCCATTCCCAAAAGGTTAATTCTTTTTTTTTTTTTTTCTTTTTTCTTTTTTAAAATAAATAAATAAATTAACATCAAGTCTAAATTCTTTACATTTTTTTTGTTTAAAAGAATATATATATATATATATATCTAAAATGCTAATAAATTTCTATGAATAATAGTTTAAAAATTAATGGATGGAAAAAATAATATTTCAAAAAATTATATATCCAAATTACTTAAATTCTATAAATTCGAGACTTAGAATAAAGTAGTACGTTTATTAAGGTTACGATTTTTAAATATATGTCAAAATTGATTCTTACATAATTTTTTAAAAAATAAAACAAAATCGAGCCGTGGTCTTTTACAAAAATTTAAAATTGAGATGTTTAATAATTACGAGACTATGAAATTAAATTAAAGGGATCGGGATAATTATATGAATTTTATTTTTTTTCTCATTACAAAAGGAGTTATTTTTAGTTAAAATATAATTTTTTTTGGTTGGTAAATTTTAAAAAATTAAAAATTGAACAATAAATTTATAATTTTTTAAATTAAAAAATTCAGACACATAGTATCTTAATATAGATGCTATTCCCACACGTAATTTCACGGCATTTCGACGACCAGAGCATCGGGCGGTGGTATTTTCGTAATTTTTATCATCGGTTCTTTCTCCTATAAATTTCCGGCCACCGTAATTGATTTACATTCCCCAATTTTCCTCTATTGTTGCAGTTGAGCATTAACTTGCAGTTCCAGTTTCTTTCGCTTCGTTAAAAGTTTCTCTCAACTTGCATTTTCCTGCAGCAATCTCTTGTTTGACGCATTTTGTTTCGTGGAATTGAATCAATAATTGAGTTCTCCGGACCTTCCGGAACAGCAAATGACGCCACCAATTCTCTCGTTAGCTCTGCCGTCGGTGACTGGTCGAGTTCTCAGTATTCAATCCCACACTGTTCAGGTTTGTTCAATTGTTTTTGGTTGAAATCGACATAAATTTGAAAGTCAGCTTGTTTTGGTTGCCTCTATTAGGTTTCTGCAGAAGTTTCTTTCAGTTTTTTTTGGTGAGTTTGTATCGTTGGAGTTGATGTTCTTGTTAGGAGAGTTGTGTTTTGGAGAGAGTTGACTTTGATTGTTTATTTGTACTAGTTCTTGTATTGTTCTTGATTGTCTTTATTTCCATTCCATTAGTTTGAGTTAAATGAATTGTTCGCTTGTGTTCTGCCGTAGGGATATGTCGGGAACAAATCAGCTGTTTTCCCTCTCCAACTATTGGGCTATGACGTAGATCCAATAAATTCCGTGCAGTTCTCAAACCACACAGGCAAGCTGATTCTATTTCTTCACTCAAATGGTCTCAGAACTCTGAGGCCTAATATACGGTGCGATGCCTTTTGTCATTATGCATAAGTCCTGGTTTGATTTCGTAGTGTTAGTGAAAGTGGATTATGGTTCGTTTTGAAAATAAAACAGGATATCCGACTTTCAAGGGCCAAGTTTTGAATGGAGGACAATTATGGGACTTAATTGAAGGCCTCGAAGAAAATGAGTTGTTGTACTATACTCATTTGTTAACAGGTACTCTAGTTTTTCATTAAATGACTTGGTGTCCAGTATAATTTGGTAACTTTACAATATAAATCTTTACCAATGAATTCCATGTCGCTTCATGATAGCAAGGCAGAAAAGCAGAAATATGTCTCATAGACATTTTGAATTATGCTAAACTATTGCCATCTTTACGTATAAAGATCCTGCAAATGCATACAGTAGAATTTATTATTCTTATTTTTCAGCCAGTGTGAGTTTTGTTATAATATTTACTTATGGATTGTGCAGGTTATATTGGTTCCGTTTCTTTCCTCAACACAGTGTTAAAAGTTGTTGATAAGCTTCGCTCAGTGAACCCCAAGTTAACATATGGTCAGTTAGATTCAAATTCCTTATGCTTTATTATCTTTTCTCCTTATCCATATATATGTTTTGGTAAATGTATGAGTTCTTGGTATCCTAGAAGTAGTAAGCTACAAGGAAAATATTTTTATCAAAAACAAAAGAGAGAGAAAAGGAGAAGAAGAAGAAGAAGAAGAAGAAGCTCTGAGGATTATAATTTTCTAATGCATTTTTTTGCTCACAAGGGACAATCTTGGTCATTGATTGATGATTCATTATTCAAATCCCAGAATTTTTCATGTCCCATTGCCTTTATAGCATGTAAGAGAATGCTACCGGCAAAATTGTGAAGATTAGATGAAACTTTTGTGTAGATTTTTACTTTTTAAACTGGATGGAATTTATTTACATGTTTTAACAAGAAACCGAAATTTTGTAGTTATATGTTGAAAGGATTAATTTGTGAGCCACCTATTGAACCATGTTCTCATTATATTTAGTGTCCTTTTCCAGTATGTGATCCTGTGATGGGTGATGAAGGGAAGCTTTATGTTCCGCAAGAACTGGTATCTGTATACCGTGAGAAGGTAAGAAATCCAGCTCATTCTGTGTCCTGCTGATGCTTGATACCTCAATCATTTAATCTTGTCTTTAGTTAATTTTTTTTATAGCAATCGGCTATTGAACTTTTCAATGTTTCAGTGCTTTAATATCTGACCATTAAAAATGAAATTCCTATCCTGCGTTTAGAAGTTAAACAGTCATTTAACCATCTGCTATTTATATTCCCTTTTCCCATGTTCTTGACTATAAAACTTTTTTGATGAGTCCAATTCATGGCTAGGTTGTCCCAGTGGCTTCAATGTTGACTCCTAATCAATTTGAAGCTGAACAATTGACTGGGTTAAGGTAATTTAAATTACAGTGCAAACTGGTATGGTTGGCAGTGGAGAATGGGGTGCGGTATCTATTTCATTGAGCAAAATTTGATGTCTACTCTTTCTTGAAAATTCTTCGAACTTTGCCCCTTCCATCCATCAATCTTAATATTTCGGATTTTCCTATTTAATTCTATATAACAATTAGTATCTTCTTTGAAACCCTGGAATAAATTCAAATGAACCTCAACAGTTCTGACAAAGACTTGGCAGTATTCAGTGCTTGAGCATCCTTTTTTCCTTGCTTCAGATAGCGTTATTTGAGAAGCCTTGCTTTTTGCAGGATCCAATCTGAGGGAGATGGTAGGGAAGCTTGTAACATTCTTCATGCTGCAGGACCTACAAAGGTAAGAATTATGAATGTGTCTGGCCTGATAGACACTATGTAACTTTATTGCACTGAAAAAAACTATGCTATGGACCTCCCCCTTTGAGGTGAGGGGATTATCTTGGCGAAAAGATTAATATTTGGTCTATTCTTTTAGTAATAATGGAACAATTCTATTCTATTCGTAGGAACAAAAAGAAGCAGATCAATTCTATACTCGATAAGTACCAATACGCAATGGTGGATGGGAATTGATCCTATTTTTTATGAGTGAATGTATACATATTTGTTCATCATTAAAAAACCTATTCGGAAGAATTTTCCTTTATTCCTTCTGTTTTCCTTTTTTATGATAGTTCTTATTCGAGTGCATGCTCTAGTAGTCAACTACCATGAATGAGAGACACTGGAGGTAAATGAACCCTTGTAGGAGTGATTCTCTTGAATCTCGATCTTACGTTCTTTACTTATCAAGAGAAATGTTAGATGGCAGTTGACACATTTATGCTTGTCTCAGTTAGATAATTGATGCATCATAACCATAGTTTGGCAATGTGATTTGGACTATAACAAAATAGCTGGGATCTTAAATAAGATCAATAACGTAATAAAATATAATTACTGAGTGAGTTAAGGATTTATTTTGTAAGCACTTCAAACATCTTTTGTTTTTCAGGCTTTTCTCGACACTGTTGATACAAAATTTTGGATAGTAGGTGCTTATCTTTTTAAGAATTCCAACTTTTACAACTGCGGTCTTTTCTTCTTTAGGCGATTAGAACTTGTCCTAGCATAACACGCCTACCTGTCAAAACTTGGTTATACTTATACCATGAAATTTATAATTCCATCCCTTTTAATAAACATAAATACGGTTCATTCTGTGGCTGTCAACCTTTTGTAAATGTCGGACATCATTCTAAATGTTGTTTTCCTGTGCTATCTATATCTCTGTAATCTGATGTGTTAGTCACGTTAAACATCTCAGGTTGTGATAACAAGCATAAGTATGAACGGTGAACTTCTTCTCATTGGCAGCCATCAGAAGAATGAGGTGGAAAATTTTCATTTTATATTGAACTGAATTCTTGCAGTTTGAGATCTGTTGTTTTTTGGGTGCATTTTTTTAGTCTTGCAAAGCTTATAAGAAAATTGCATGAGCCCGAGAAAACTAATTAACCATAAACTTTTTTTTTTCCTGATGAAACCCAAATGACTGCCTGGTTAGATTGCCAGATGTATCATCATCACTGTCTGAAATAACGTAATAAACTGATGTTCCAAGCACATGTTACTTTCCTGTGTCACTTGTGTTTGCTTCATGAAACAACAGTTGACAATTTCCCTCATTTATGAACAATTTTTTTAATTATTTTTTATTTTGAGGTGGGAGGGAGAGAGAGGGAGGGATGGCGTAGGGAGTTGATGCTACTGGTTCAGGTTACAAGTTCTTCACAACTAAGAAAGAGAGTTAACAAGACTTTCAAAGGAAGATGAGCAAGGACTAATGACATTGGAAAGGACAATACTTTATTTCCATTCATTGACGTGTGGATGGTTCCAGCAACTCCTGTCAACACCCTAAACCGAATGTCCATCAATGAACTCAAAAAGAGAATCTTCTGTTCTTTGGCTAGGAAAACAAATCATAGAAAAGAAATCATATCACCAGATGATTCAAGCCACTCAAAATGCACCGGTATATTAGGTTTTGTCTTCCTTCTTCAAGCTTCTTTCATGCTACCGTGAGGGAAAGGTTCAACCTCATTCTTTCGTACTTTACCTGCTACTCTCTTCCTCCAAATGGGAGTTTTAAATCCTTAAACTAAGAAAATCTTGGCAGAGGCCCTCCGCCAACATAAATGTCAAACCTCCATTTTTGAGATCCCACATCGGTTGCAGAGGGGAACGACATTCTATATAAGGGTGTGGAAACCTCTCTCTAGCAAATGCGTTTTAAAACCTTAAGAGGAAGTTCGGAAGGGAAAGTCCAAAGAGGACAATATCGGCTAGCAGTAGACTTGGACTGTTACAAATGATATTAGAGCCAGACACCGGACGATGTTCCAGTGAGGAGGCTGAACCCTGAAGGGGTGGACACCAAGCGGTGTGCCAGCGAGGACGCTGGGCCTCGAAGGGGAGTGGATTGAGGGATCCCACATCGATTGGAGAGGAGAATGAGTGTCCGAGGACATCGGGTCTGAAGGGGGAAATAAACATTGTTTATAAGAGTGTGAAACCTCTTCCTAGCAGATGCGTTTTAAAACCTTGAGGGGAAGCCCGAAAGGGAAAGTCTAAAGAGGACAATATCTGCTAGTGATGGGCTTGGGCTGTTACAAGAACCTTCATTAGTCTTAAATGCTGCATCAACCAATCCCATTCTTTTAGGCTTTTATTCACGTTTTGCTCAAATGATCTCTTGAGGATTGGACAATTGTTATTTAGAGATGTCTCTTTAAGTTGTTCTTGACTTAAAATAAAAAAACACCCTCAAATGTTTTTTAGTTCCTTGTACGTGTAGCTTTACTTCACGAGATAATGACATTGAAAATACTGTCAAGTTAGACTCCTTCGTTTCCAGAACTGTTGGCGATTGTTAGATACCTTCAAGTTAAATTTTGAAGATGGGTTGAGTTGGCACTGAACACTCAAAGCCACTGTCATGGCAATTATGGTGATTTGATTGAGATTATAAATGTTCCCTCCACCCTCACAACCTGTTATACCTATAGGGAATGCTTGTGGAGGTTTTTGTTGAGTGTGCAATAGTGACCCTAAGAATACTTGGCATCGTGGAAGCTCTCACTCAAGTGAAGCAAAGTTTACAGGCCTTGTCCTAGTCGAGTTTCCCTTCACTTCCACTTCATCCACCTTATTTGTTTCTGACACCCTTGTAGCCCCTTTCTTCTATGCATATCGGTTGATTAGAATGTTGCCAGCATGCATGGTCCTTTACTTGGGAAGTAGTAGTTAATTTCGGTAATGAAAGATTTAACCCTTTTCTTTTCTTTTTCTGGTTACATGAATAAAGAAACTGATTTTGTACTTCTTTGATGCCTAACATGTGTTTTACTTAGGGTTTGCGCAGCTAACATTGGGAAATTTTATTGTATTTTATATTTTATTATGGTTTGCATTGCATACACTTGGTCTAATTGCAATATCCTAACCTTGATGTCATAGGGCCAATCTCCTGAACAATTTAAGATCGCAATTCCCAAGATTCCTGCATATTTCACGGTATGAAAATCTCTCTTCTAATTTCACTTGCAATGTTCATCTCCTTGAGCTGAGGTTGATGTCAAAAAGAAATTATTGTTCTATTTAAACAATGCATGTAGACCTCGTGCGTCTATAGATAAGAAACTTATAGAAAACTACCATAACTAGTGGGCTCAATCAAGCAAGTCATTTATCAGAATGTGTAGGAAAATGACCTCTCCTCTGGTACGATTTAGTGTTTATTGTTCATAGCATCTATGCAAGTTCTTGAAAAGAATATGCTAATTTATAGGCAGAATCTTTACACGTTGGTAGAAGATTTCTTTCTTTTCCTCTCTCTCTCAAACCATGAAAAGTAATGGCAATAAAGTAGGAAGTGTTAATTCCAGAAATTCCTTTTCCATCTCTAACTGAATTCCGAAATAAGATCCTTCTTGAATATCATATATTTCTGTTCGCTTTTCTCCTGATTCGTATCGATCTCAAACCATTGGTTCGTTTCTCATTGCATTGGTCCCATCCAGATCCTTTTCTATAGATTAACATGTCTTTGTAAATGCACTTGTAGGGAACTGGTGATCTTACGACTGCACTTCTTCTTGGTTGGAGCAATGTAAAGCCCCTAACTTAAATTTTATTGAAAATAGATAACCTCTTGTTTACAGTATCGTTCTCTTCAAATAATAGTTCGTTATGTTACCAGAAATATCCTGAACACCTTGATTTGGCGGCAGAGCTTGCAGTCTCAAGTTTGCAGGTTTTTCTTCTTTCCCTGTTTGTTTTGTTTCTAAAATTATTTGTTTTTCTGACTTTGCTCTACAAATAGAAATGTTGGTCATTATTCATGTGCGTTGCATATTATTATTTTGTGTCATCATTGGAGACGAAACATCCCATCAACCACAAAAACAACCCCAACAACTACCCTCTCCTAAGGAACTTTTGGGACCGATAGATTTTCTATTTTTAAAAATTAAGCTCATGAGCACTACTTCCGTTTATGTATTATTCAATTTTTAGAATTAAAATAGTAGTTTTCAAATTTTCATTTTTGTGTTTTAAATTTGATTAAGAATTCACATCTCAGAAAATTTATAAAGGCCATTAGAGATGTAGTCAGTTGATCAATCAATAATTCTAGTCACTCGGGTAATTTATGACAATGTAGTTTCTTTTGAAAGTTCTAATCTTTTTTTATGTGTCTTCTATTACTATCATGATAGAATTTCAAGCACATAATACAAATCTACTAAAAAGCACGAAAATGATATAGACAATGACACATCATTCTCTCACAATCTAGATATGAACATAACATTTAGGAGATCAATGAGATTGCTCTCAAAATTTACTATTTGTCTTGTCTATGCTTGTCCTTGACCATTCGTTGTTCTTAATAAATATTTCTACATAAACAAATTGTCAGACTCATTCATTTTGTACCAGCCACGGTTATATATATATATATATATATATATATATATATATATATATAAAACATACACCTTTTGTGTCAACAAGTATCTTATGTTAGAGGGTCTAATTATCTAGTACATGTTGGACCTCGTTGTGGTATTTGGGTCTTACACCTTTTGAGCCAACAAGTGTCTCGTGTTAAGAGTGTCTAACTATTTAGTACATATTGGATACACTTATGGTATCTATGTCCTGTTCTTAGATGCATTATAATTTTACTAAACCTTATCTCATCAATTCAAGTTCTCTGTGATTGTGAACGATTTGCAGGCTGTTCTGCATAGAACAATGAATGATTACAAAAGTGCAGGACATGATCCTGAATCCAGCAGTTTGGAGATCCGATTGATTCAAAGCCAAGATGACATTCGAAATCCAAAAATTAAATTTAAAGCCCAAAGGTACGATTGAGTTGGTGTTTTTCTCGAACAACATTTTAGGTACATTGCAAGACATCTCTAAACTTCTTTTTTATTCAGTTTCATAACCCCCGAAAAATATTATTAGTAATAATACCAATAATGGTACTGAATGGAGGGATTAAAGTTGAAATTAGTTTACGCCACCCTCCCTGCATTTACTAATATAATCATATATCTTGTTTTAAGAGGAAAATTAACAAATTTATAAACTAATTAAAAATCAATTTAAAAATTTAAAAACCAACTAAAAATCAAATTCTACAATCTTTTAAGATAATAAAATAAGAATTTATTATTTATTTTATGATAAACATTTGTTCTTGCGAAATAATTTGTTAAAATTAAACCAAAGAATATTTAATATAAAAATGTTGATGAATGCTAACTATTTTTATCCTAAACTTCCTTGAAACTTTAAATGAGTGTTAAGTTCTTATTTTCTAATTAACTTCGAAATTTTATCTCAATCAACATGTTCTACCTGTTGACTTTGTTTCCCTTTTTTGTTCAACTTTAACTAACACAAAGTTCACCGAAGTTTAAAACGCGGTCTAACACAACCAACCAAATACTGATAATTAAAGCAAACTTAACCCAAAATGCTAAAAGCTTTCAAGCATGTTGAGAATGTAAGATTGCCACCATCATCCTCTTCTCAAATAAACAATTTTTATACAGACTGTTATTTTTTCGGTCACCTTAACATCAACTCCGTAGAAACCAAGCATCTTGTTTAATGCACCAATGTAGGCCTTGAGACTTGCCACGATGATGTCCATTCCCGCTCCGATACCACTGCAATGGAACGATAAAAACATATCACTAAATATCGAGTCATCGATGTACTGTAGCCAGAGAAGAATATAAAACAGTAACAGAATTCACGTTGAATTTCATATGGGTTGATATCGGTTGGTCCTCTTAATTTTAACCAGCGAGTAAACGAGTCAACTTGCACACATTTTGTCTAATTATACAGAAGAACTCATAGGAAGTTAAATCCAAAGTAGATAGCCACCGTAGTTTGAACCCTTCCCTATATATAGGTGGATCCACATTGCCTCTATTCTATTTTTTATAATTGGTAGGCATCTAATTAGGTTTGCCCATACCTGAACCGAGAAAATGGAGCTAAGTAAAATATCTATATCATAGTTGGTCAGCTCCGTCATTTTCACCTCTCTATATGTATGTGCTTCTTATCCTTATATGTCCTTATACGTTACGTAATTTTTGATAGAGTGAGAAATGAAGCCAAGTCCGTCCTTTTTTTTTTTTTTTTTGCAGACTAGTAGTGATGTGGTTGTTCCTATCGAAATCTAGAGCTCAAGGTTGTGAACTTCGCCTGTTAGGTTAGGGGGAGAGAGGCTGGAAACAGGGAGACAACCAACTAGTTAGGTTAGGGGGAGAGAGGCTGGAAACAGGGAGACAACCAACTAAGCTTACAAGTACAATTAGTTGCAAGACAAAACGTTTAAATTCTCCATATAGGTTACTACCCTAGTTTGAATTCATTCCTTCTAAATCCCTTTATTTTTCACGATACTAATGGCCATCCTAGTCTTCTCAAGTTAAACATAAGGAAGCCTAGATCCAATAACAAAGAGGCAAAAGTACTTGAATATGATTGTATTTAAAAATTGTTAAAATATACAGTTTAGTCACTAATGTTGGAGTGTTCTTTCAATTTAGTCCCTTAAGTTTTAAATTTTTATTAATTATACCCTTTTATGTTCTTCCAGGAATGCTATATAGTCATTGGCAAAAATCAGAGAAGGAACGATCACCTCAGAAAATTTGGAATTTTTGCCAACTTAAATAGGAATGTGAGACAAACTTAGAAAATTTTCCCGCTTAAGCTCTTCTAAGGTTTTGTCTTAACTCCTTAAACATCATGCCATGTTGGTTAAGTGTACCAACAGACAACGAGATGGGCAAAATTGAAGAAATTTAGAAAATAATAGCTAAGTTTAATTACTTTAAATGATAGGGAAGAAAATGTATACCTAAACGTTCGTTGAACTTCTTCTCCAGCCGATGCATTAGTAGATAAGTAACTGTTGTCCCCTCTTATTACAACACGAGTAGTGGCAATTGCATCGATCCCTTCGGTGACAGAATTCATTGAATAATCGAGCAGTGTTACTGGTTCCTGCATTCAGAAAAATGGAAACTCTGTAATGTCGCATTCACTCAAGGACACAAGGACACGAAGCAAAGCATGCAAGGATTTGAAAGCCTGGTTGTCGATCATGGCATTTGTGCTATATTCACCAAATGTCACGGCATCACACGAATCCAACAAGCCTGCATTTTAAACTCTTTAGAGGAAAATAATTTCTTTGATTGTTTTTTGACTGAGCCATCTCCCATGCATTTCAACAATTCTCAAGAAACAACCATACAACTCCACAACATTTGGTTGCCAAGATAATTTGTAGGATATTGAATCCTAGATAGGTAGCCTCCATGGTTTGAATTCAATCCCTAACCCTTATTGATGACTAAGTCGACCCAAGGTGGTTTACTTTGGTGTTTTTTGACTGACCCAACGTGCTCTTTCCCATCGGCATCAAGGAGTTTGACAGTAGCAGTGGAAAGACCGAGAGTTCCACAGGTGATCTGCATTTGAGGTGCTATTGTCAAATGATACTATATGTGTATCTAAAAATAGGCCCAAACGACTTTCCGAATCTGACGATCTATAACAATATTTAGATAACCTGCAAATCTAGCAGCTTCCATAGAACAGTTGGTTGTAAAACCTCGTCAGATACCAACGCTCGAAGATCTGTCTGTAACTCTCTGGAATGTTGAAGATAAATTATGGCAAAAAGTTTAGAACAGGTTAAATGAAAAACTAACTTGATGAGTAGTTATTTATGTTCTTGAAACAGGCTGAATTATCCCAAATGGTATTTGCTACTCTACTATGTGTAGGAAGCAGGATAGGGAATAGCTCAGCAAAAGAGAGGGACGAAATTTTGAGTTACCTTCTTTTGTTCAGCTACTGCTTTGAAACGCCAGAATACGTTGTCAAGATTCTCATTGTCAAGCTCATAACCAAGCTGAAAAGACAAATAACATTAGCCTATTATAAAATGGAAATACTACCTAAACATTGAGGTTGGAGATCTAAATTTACCTCTAGAAGTCGACTTTTAAGGGCATGGCGTCCACTGTAAACGTAGTCATAATGAAGATGTTATTGGGATAGTATACTTTGAACAAGACACAGAAAGTGAAATAAACATATAAAGTCAATCCTGTTAATATTGTAAAAAAATGATTTTGGGCAGCACTACAACAGAACCACAACAGATGTTTGTCATTTCTTCTGTCCCTGAAAAACTATTTAGTTCCTTCGTACTGTTGCATTGTTGAACCCAGCTATAAGAAGATTTAGATCTAAAGAGAACAATTTTTCGATGTCTATTCTAAATATTTTGGAAGTTAATCTGACCTTCAACGGAAAATAGGAATGGGTTCATCAAGTCATTGTAATCACTAGGAGGATTTAATATTGTATGAGTTACCTCGAAAATCAAATATTGTAGAGTCACATAGAGATGGGGAAGAGGAGACCAGGAGAGGGGGAAATTTTATCGAGAGAAAGGCAATATCGTCATTTTCCATAAAGCAACATGGTGTACCTGAGTTTTCCTAGAACAATACCAGCATCATTTTGGATTGTTCGTAGCCAATGACTTCAGGGGATATGATTTCATAAGTACCTTTGTGCTTAAGCATCCCATCCTGCACCACAAAAGCAATGTTCAAGATACAATTGGATCCTAACAAAGCAGGGCAAACAGCCGACCGCATGTCTCACACAAATAATAATAATTATAATAATAACTCAAAACATAGAAATAAGAGCCAATCAACATTTTCATAATGAGCTTGAAAGCAAGACTATACATTAAAATAGTTTAAAAGAGTTCTCGATATGTGTAAGAGAACTTAGCAGCAGTTTAACAACTTTCTTCCTTCCTCTTGAAGGGCTTAAGATAAGGTTTTTCACACTTCTTTTCCAATCTACCAAATTGGGGAGAATTCAGTATAGTCTTCAGCACCTCGTAGGAAACACTCATCTTCCATTACCATCCTTCCTAACTTTGTTTTCTGAATTTCATTATCCAAAAATTAATTCGCAAGAAAAGGGGAACTAAAGTTAAAAATGAGTAATTGTTTGCCATAAATGTGTTGGAAACAAAAAATACTGGTGCTAATAGGAGTGTACATGGTCCAAGTTGAGTTGGGTTGAAAGATTTTTTTTGACCGATCCCAAAAGTTCGGGTTGGTTGGATTGGTAACCCAACCCAACCCGAATTTATAATCATTCGGTATAATCTTAGATAAAAAAAATATTAAAAGTCTACAAGCAAACCCAAATCAATCTATAATTAAAAAAAAAATCATAATAAGGAAAAGTTGTAAGTTCTTGTTCAACAATAATTGGTTACAAAGAAAATATAAGGATAGATTAGGAAATTAAAAAACAATAAAAATGATTAGTTAACGTTATAATAATGTGTTTAAAAATAGTATGAAATATTGAGGTATTTTTATATATTTAGAAGAGAATTTTAAAATATATAAAAGAAATTAAATAAAATAATATAAAAGAAACAACAAAAATTAAAAAACAATAAATAATGTGTCTAAAAATAGTATGAAATATTGAAGTATTTTTATATATTTAGTAGAGAATTTTAAAATATATAAAAGAAATTAAATAGAATAATATAAAAGAAACAAAAAAAATAAATAAATAAAGGAAACAAACAAAATAATAAAAAGATGATTTTGGCTTGAGCAAACGAGAGTATTCTAATAAACTCGGATTGACACTCTGATAGACCTTTACATAGGCAAGAATTCTTAGTGTAATTTATAAGTTTTGTTCGATTTCGGGTCCACCCGAGTTTTTTATCCTATGAACCTAAAACCGAACCGAGTCACTCTGAGTTCAGAAAAAGCAACCCAACCCCTATAATTCGGGTTGAGTTGGTTAGGATTGTCGGGTTGGATGTACATCCCTAGGTGATAGAATTCTGTAATAGTCAACTATAAGCATATAGGGTAGACTTCAAATCACGATAGGTTTCGAAAGATAAATATGAGAATGTGTCATAAATAGTTAGCTGCGAATAGCAAAAATCAAAATTGAACATGACAAACCTGGTGGATGCCACTTTCATGAGCAAAAGCATTAGCTCCCACAATTGCCTTGCGTGGTTGTACATTCAAACCAGTGTACTCTTCTACCTAAGGATTGAGTTAATCAATAAGTAGCCTTTATTGATAACAAATAGAGATATTTAATACAAAAAACATAAAAGAGAACTGGGGGAAAGGGAGAGCTACCAAATCTGTCCTTAATCCAAATTCCCAAATATACTTCGCCTCAAAGGAGGAAAAAGTCCAACCAGCAGATTTTAAAAGGAAACAGTAGTCATAAGAGAAATAAAATAAATAGAAGTTAGGACATTCATACCTAATTAGTAACATTAAACATCTCTCAAAGTACCAGTCCTACCCCTAAAAAAATGAAATAAATGCTCCTATCTCTATCCTCAAAAAATTGCCTCGACTCTTTCCAAGGAACCAGAAGCGAAACAGAACTGTCTAGCATCCAAAAGAATAATAAAAAAAAAATAACTCAAGGAATTTTTTTTTCAAGAAGCATTTTTTGTAAGAGAAGTAATTACCATCTTGCTAGTCAAAAAGATATGTCTTGAGTTAATTCCAGTACGAAGACCTCCAAGCACATGCTCTCCACGACATTGTAAGGCCATTACCACCTGAAGATTTAAAAATATGGTATAAAAAATGAAAATTGTGTACATTCATACATGCCATTTAAGAAGTCTACCCACGAAATATGAATGTTTTGATGTCTGCACAAACAGATGTTCTTAGAACAATACAACAGAAACATGCATACAGTCGCATGTAAAATGAAATATATAAACATTCTTAATTTCTCAGAATTTAAAATTTAACCTCTTTTGTAAATAAAAAACATAGTATGAAATAAGTACGACATATCGATTACCAATTAAGCTAGGTTGCATTGCAAGTCATCGTCGCTCTTCACAAAATAAAAATATGAATAATAATAATATGAATAAACACAGAAAAAAATAAATAATTGACTTGCCTCCTCTAGCGAAGCATTTCCAGCTCTCTCACCAATGCCATTAATTGTGACCTCAAGTTGCCTTGCGCCTGCACATGCCCCCTGCAAAGAGATGAGAAGAATCATAATTTGGGTATTGATTACGAAGTTAATTCTCTATATCATGCTTAGTGTTAATGGTATGTTATTCATAATCCTTGTAACTTTCCAATTATATTCGGATACTTACCAAAATTACAGACCTAATTTAATTCAATAAATAAAGACATGTTTAGGAGTGGTTTTGGAATTTCATCCCCTGTTTAGAGTTCTTGGGCATGAAAAAGGTGATTTTGGCCACATTCCCAAACACGTCATAAATAGGATTAAAAGGGAGGAAAATGCCATTACTTACTGCTACTGTGTTGGAAGTTGCGAGTCCAAGATCATTCTGGCAGTGTGTTGAGATGATAACATTATCAATGCCAGGAGTATTAGCTTTTAAATCAGCAATCAAGTTGCCAAATTCAACTGGCATTGTATAACCCACAGTATCTGGTATGTTGAGAGTAGTTGCACCAGCCTTTATCACTTCGCCCAGAATTTGATAAAGGAACTCTCTGTCAGATCTGATAGAACACCACAACATAAAAAAGAAAACTAATTTATCAACTTAAAAGAACTGCAATTTTATTTTAAGCAACGATGGCTAAGGATGTCGAAATCCCCATAGAGAAGGGTCCCTATGAAGGATCTTTTCTCGTCAAGACAAGGATGGGGATAGACACATCAGTCAGTGATTACACAATGAACAGTAAGAAGGCTACTAGCATATGATTCTGCTAATCAAAAATTGCAAACCATTAGCTACGCAAATCCAAATTACATAAATCAAGCATCAGGAAAACAAACAAAATACAAAGATTTACATATCTTACATCCTATTCTTTTACGGGATACAATAACAAATTACATAAATTCCCACTTCACAACTTCAAGCTTCATAAATCTGAACTTATTAACAACTTAATCCAAAATACCATTATGATGGAGAGGTTTTGAAATCATCAAGAAAAGTCAACTTACTCTCAGGACCAATCATTGAAACAAAAATTAGAAAATGCATGTAAATTGAGATCAAGATTGAACCTCCCAGCATCCTCGGGGCTAAACTCAACATCATCACAACCCAAACTTTGTGCAAACCGCACCATATTTCGAGCAATATCAATCACTTGCTCCCTCGTCTTTCTCAGCTTATGCTCCATATGAATCTCGCTTGTTGCTATAAACGTATGTATCCGCGGTCTCTTAGCGTACTTCACAGCCTCCCATGCAGTTCGAATATCATTCTCATTACACCTCGAAAGACCACAAATAACAGGCACATACCCATCCTCATCGACAGCATTGCCAACCTCTGCGGCAATCATCTTGACGGCCTCAAAGTCTTCCTTCGAAGCAGCAGGAAATCCAGCCTCAATTATGTCAACGCCAAGCTTGACGAGCTGACGAGCAATATCAAGCTTCTCTTTAGCAGTGAGGGAGGCACCTGGAGACTGCTCGCCATCGCGGAGAGTGGTATCAAATATCCGAACATAGGAAGAGTCAGGGATGCGATTAGGAATATACGGCGGACGTCTAATGGATGAATTCGATTTGGAATTCGAAACTACGCTTTCAGTGCGACTGCAGTAAATGCGAGACACATTGTCCGCCACCGTTCTAAAGGACAACGACCATGAAGAATTCTTAAGAGCCTGCAAATTCCGATTGTAACTCCGATGACAGGAAGGAAACTGAGAGTTCGAATGCCGAACAAAAAAGTGATTCGGACTCGACAAAGTTACCGGCACGGCCATGATAAACACAACAACCGCAAATCAAACAAAACAGAAATACTCTAACAAATCAAACAAGCTTCTCCTTCTATTTATCGCGCAATTGAGGAAGCAACTGATCGGCAATGAATGAAGAACAGAGAATACTTACAGCCGAACTCCAGCGAACATTCGTGGGAGCTTTTCAAGCGGAAATGCGGACAGATTTCACACCGACAAGATAGTAAGCTTCGCATGCATGGAGGATCGAAGTCAGAGAGAATCAACGTCGGATTGACGAGCTCTGGAAGGTTGAACGCATGCAAGGAATGATTTTCTAAAGCTCCACGTTTAGGTCATGAATACCAATTGGGACCGCAATTTGTCTTGAAACCGACTGATTTCTCGGTTTAAACGCTTTTATAGTATTAACATATGGGCGCTTTTTTTTATTTTATTTATTTATTTATTTATTTTGAATGTAATCTACGGCTCGTCTCGTCCCAAGCTGACGTGTCAATTAGGTTCCTAACGCTTACGTGTCGATCAAAAGATGAGGTGGATTTTTCTTTTGTTTTTTTTTTTTTTTTTTTTTTTTTTTTT